AAACAGGAATTCTAGAGAAGTTGGGAAAGAAGTTAGAAAGGGTCTTAACACCCCTTATTAGGGCAGGAAATTCCAAGAATTAACACCAAGGAAAGAATGTGTGGGAGAATTAGGTAAAAATGAATATTAACAAAGGCCAAACTGCAGTTTAAAATAATAGGTGTTCATCAGCTCAATCGCATACTGGTCATGTAATATTTCACCCTAAACATTCTCTTTCCACATATTGTCTTCTCCCTCAAGGCATCACAGTTTCTGCAGAAAAAAAGGAAGGTTCCTGGTGGAGTCCGTTCGCTTCCCCCGAGCACAGGTATTAGCCTATCTGGCTGCCTGTCTCTGCATTCAGAGCTAAAAACCCTTAAGCACCCTTTGACTGACCGGATATACTGTTGAACTGCCCCATCATGGTTGCCCTTGCTGTAGAGATGGTCCCCGTACTGCATGAAGATCTGGGCCAACCCATCACTATCCAGGTGCTGGCTCTTGGCCAGGTTAATCGCCATCTCAAATAGGTTCTTCTTAAACAGCATCTAGAAGGAAAGAGATTGGAAAATTGGTAGATGCAGTCCTGAGGCGACACCTCCCCAGAATGAACCCACAACACACATGCCAGACAGTCCTGAAGTTCCTATCTGCCTAAATCCTAGCAGGGTGAGACCTCTGATACCCTCAAAACCAACATCAGGTTATCTCCTAAGGCTCTTTGCAGAGAGTGGACCCTGAAAGTGGGCTCAGGCTCCTAGCCATTACTTCCCTCTAGCAAGCATTTCAGACTCAAAGGCTAACACGGGCCAAATAAACAAGATTGAAGTGTATGTGGCTGCAAAAAAAACTACAGCTTCAATTTTCAAAGAAACCTAGGTTTGTTTCGATAGAGACATGCTGGATACAAAGGGCTGAAATAAATGAGTCATCGTTAACATAAAATAATAGAACATTTTAATAAAAATTAATATTTTTTCTTGAACATTAACTTACCAGACACTGAGTAACTGCACAAATTAATAAGCAAAAATAAACCTATTTTCTTGTTCTCCGAAAGTGAAATATTTCCTGTTGCGCACACCAAACAAGTCAGTACAAGACTAATAATGTGGCCACTGGCTGCTAAAATATTCGCTGCTAGTGTTAATGGAGAGAAATGGTGCGCCTGAACGTAAGGGAAATGAATGCAACACGATTATAGCAATCAGTCAGTTATAGTTCGTTATTAATAATTATGTATTACAGGATATTGTAAAAATTAAGAAATTTCTATTAAAACATTTCTTACATACTGTTATATTGGCTGAGCCACAAAAATATTCATTATGGGCTGCATGTGGCCCACGGGCTGCGAGTTTGACATGCTTGCTCTAAAGCCTCATCCCAGGCCATTTACCTTGTACTTCTACCCCAAGGGAGCTGAGTAAGGCTATGACCCAAAGAGAAGGATACACTCTGGCCCACGTGTCTTGGGAGCCTATCCCTACAGCAGTATCTGGGTGCCTATGGCCAGCGCTGGGAACCTGGTGGCCTTGCCTCCAGTTTGGTCTGTGTGTCCTTCTCCTGCAGTGCGTGGACCCGCCCATCCCGCGTCAGCACGTACAGGGAGCCCCACTCAGCAAGCACATCCACTATATCCTCAAAGACAGCGCTATAGGCTATAAACTTGTTGCACAGGTCATAGATGTTGAGAATCTGCTTGTCGGAGCTCTGTGAGTCCCTGTTGGTAAACTCTGACCTGTGTGGGAAAGAAAAAGCACCAGACATTTGTACCTTCTCTGCCTCAGCTTCCCCTCTATTTCCTTTCCAATGGCCACTTTGATTTTTTTATTGATTGATTTTAGGGAGAGAGGAAGGGGGAGAGACAGTGTTTTTGACTACTTAATCCCTCCTTCCTCTGCCCCAATTTATTTTTACTAAAGAGCACAAAAATCAATACCATGTCCAAAATTCTCTGGAACATTCTAGGGCATCAGGACTGCTCAACAAATGTCTGCAGCACAACACATTTTTCAGTATAAACATTGTAACTGATTATAGGTGTAAGCACAATCTACATAAAACCAAAGTAGGAGACTGACAGGATCCAGGTAGTAGGGTTTTTAGATCAGGTCAATTCTGGGGATCAAGCACAGCCCTCTCCCTTTCCCTGGAGTTCTTACTTGGGAGAAACCTTCCGGTCACGGGAGACAATGACAAGGTAGCCTCTGAACCAGTGAGCAATGAGTTTATGGCCCTCAAAGGCGAAGCAGGGCCCCCGTTCATCAGGCTGGTACAAGTAGACACACTCATCCCCGGCCACAATGAACTGCAGGTCCTGAGAAGGGTCACTTAGGGCTGAGCAGCGCAGGCCACAACCGTGGGTATCCAACTCCACACGAGGGCAGTCCTTTCCAGAAACTATATAGGACTTCGAGAAGTAAGAAAGGCGTTATCAGGCACCCTCTGAGACGGCGGCATCTAAGCCTTCCCCAAGGTATTCCCATCTCCGTACTAACTCTTTCTCATTCTCAGCCCCCTAAGACTTTCCCTGTCGCTTGCCTTCTCCATTAGCCATCACCCATCTACTAAATACACAAGCAGAGACCACCTTTCCTCCTCCTGTATATCGTCACTATCTGCTACAGGAATTCTGCAAGTAAGAGAAATACAATCTTTTATTATTTTATCAAAAGACTATTCCTGAGAGTAGGCTGTTATAAATTAGGAGCAACAGCATCCAGGGAAGTAAAGCAACTTGTCCAACGTCACTTCACAAGTTAGTTAGAAAAAAAATTCAGGTCTTTTCTTACAAGCCCAGAGTTCTTTTCCTAACTCTAACTCTTCCTACTCTCTCAAATGAAGAAATAAGCTCAGCAAATGACTCGAGGCTACATGATGACAAATGTCAGAATCCTACCTCTCGTCAGCTCCTATGATAGCTCCCTAAGCAACGGAGAAAGAAGCCTTTCTCACTTGCCCCTAACAGTGGAGTCCTGGTCATACCTGAACGTTCTCTGTCGTCACAACAAACAAGTGAGTGTTCTTTCCCGCTTGGCGAAAGGCCAGTCCAGTTACAGGGTAGTTGCCCTTGTGCAAAATCTGGGTCTTGCTATGCCGGTCCCGAGTGATGTCTCCTTTGTTCAAGGTAACGCTGCCATCCGTGAACCCTGTAAAGAGCAGGAAATGACTTCACTGAAGCTGCAAGGCCAGGAAGCACAGAGGGAGACGACCACTTGAAGCATTCCTCAGAAGTGATGAGATCTCTCTCCATACCCAGCTTCTCCAATGGTTAACATGGACATAGGTACTCACTGACTCATTTTTCAAAGAACAAAACTAAATCCTTTCCTATTCCAAACTCTAATATCTCAGAACAAGGTGGTCCCATGAAAACAATAAAGATGAGCTGCAGAAGCAACTCTGAAAAACATCTACAAAGAATCCTGGACTCTGATCTGGAAATTATTTCCCGGAGTCCGTCGGTGTAACTTAAACAGTGTCTTTCCAAAAAAAAAAAAAAAAAAAAAAAGAATCCTGGAGCTTTGGCTTTGCCCTCTTTGTGCTTACCGATGGCCATAAAATTGAGATTTTCATGGACAGTCAAACAGGACACAACAGTGGGCTCTGTTCCAGGGATGGCAGGGAAGATTCGAGTACAGAGTGGATTGCCACCATCTCTCTTCTCGAGGTTCCAGATTTTCACCTGTGGGCAGATCTCAGATGGATGAATGCTAACCACCCTCCAGCAAACAAACATTCCCAGACCTCTGGGTCTTTCCCGCTACCTTCCCAGGACTCACCAGGGGGTTGATGCCCTGTTCATCCTCACCAACAGATGCCAGAATGTTGTGCTGCTTCAGCTGGTACAGGTGTGTCACCCGTAGTTTGTAGGCTTGGAAGCCCGTAAGCTGGAGGGAGCGGGACAAGAACCAGACCTGACCTTCCATATGTGCGGCGCAGTCAAGGAGCCTCCTCTCCACGGGGACTTACATTTAGACCAGAAGCCAGATAACAACTAACATACATGCACTCTTCAAATTTTCATGGATTTGTCCATATTATCTCCTGGGCTCCCTAGAGACCAGAGTTTGGAAGCAGCACCGTGAAGAACAAAGCAGCAAACTCCTACTCTCATTTACCTGCCACTCCCATATGGGCAGCGGAGACGGGGACACCTTACATACTCATCTTTGAAAGCCAACCTGCACCCTTTCTTGATCTTAAAATAACTCTACTGCAAACTGGCACTTTATACCCTTTTACAGATAAGGAAGTTGAAGCCTGGGGAGCTTCAACGATTGCCGGGGATGACTCGGTTGGCAAGTGAGAGAATGGCCTTCTTCCAGCCCTCAGACCACAGACGGCACCCGGCGCCCACCGACAGGAGAGGGGCAGGCGGCACGAACCCTCCAAGGGGCCGATTCCGTCCCAGCGGGGCCTCCGCAGGGGTCCGGGAGGGACAGCGCCAGAGGAAGGATATCTCCAAAGACAAGGCTCCCTCGGCCTGAGTCGCAGACAGTGATGCCAGGAGGGAGGCAGAGGAGCTTGGAAGCAGCGGGCCCAGCGGCAGGCGCGGGCCCGGGAGCGGGCCCATCGCTGCCCAGCGGTTCCTTCACCACCTCCTTGTCGAAGAAAACGAAGCGCCGCCACTGCAGGTAGGCCGCCATCTTGGCCCAAGCCCCGGCCTCCAGTCGGAGGTCACGTGAGAGGCGCCCGGAATCACATGACTCACAGCTTCCTGGAGCCTGAAGGCCCGGGCGCTCCGAAGCGGAGGGAGAGCTTTCCGGCTGCTGGAGAGTGGGCGGGGCCGCGGAGGAGGGCGGGGCCGCGGGGGAGGGCGGGGCCGCGGGGGAGGGCGGGGCCGCGGGGGAGGGCGGGGCCGCGGGGGAGGGCGGGGCCGCGGGGGAGGGCGGGGCCGCGGGGGAGGGCGGGGCCGCGGGGGAGGGCGGGGCCGCGGGGGAGGGCGGGGCCGCGGGGGAGGGCGGGGCCGCGGGAGGAGGGCGGCCACCCCGCCCACCCCTTGAAACCCGCACTTTACCATTTGCGGCCTGAGACTGCGCTGGCTGAAATGCTCTTAAGAGCTGACCCTTGCCGGCTGGCGAGGCTCGGTGGTTGGGTGCCGGCCTCTGAGCCAGGGGGCCGAGGTTCCATACCCTGTTGGGGCGCATCCCCCAGCTGTGGGTTCGATCCCCAGTCGGAGGCGGGAGGCAGACAATGGCTGATCCTCTCATCATTGATGTGTTGATGTTTGTCTCTCTCTCTCTCCCTTCCTCTCTGAAATTAATTTTAAAAAATATTTTAAAAGCCCAGGCATTGAGGGATCAAGATGAGGAATATCTACACAAAATAAATACTCAGAAGTCGGTGGCGCCCTGGCCCCGATTGGAGTGTCCTGTGCACCCAAAGGTTGCCTGTTTGATTTCCAGTGGGGGCACATGCCTAGGTTCGGAGTTCGATCCCGGTGGCGGGCGCATACAGGAAGCGACCAATCACACCCATCAGGCTGGTACAAATAGGCACTCATCCCCATGTTTCTTCTCTCTAAAAACCAGTGAAAACATGTCCTCGGGTGAGAAAAAAAAAAAAAAAAGGTGGTATTTTTATACAATAATGAACTATCAGAAAGAGAAATTAAGAAAACAACTTCATTTACTATTGCAACATAAAAAATAAAGTGCCTAGCCCTAGCCGGCTTGGCTCAGAGGATAGAGCGTCAGCCTGCGGACTGAAGGGTCCCAGGTTCGATAGGGACCAGGGGCACATGCCTGGGTTTCGGGCTTGGTCCCAGTGGGGGGTGTGCAGGAAGCAGCCGATCAATGATTCTCTCTCATCATTGATGTTTCTATCTCCTTCTCTCTTCCTCTGAAATCAATAAATATATTTAAAAAATAAAAAATAAATAAAGCACCTAGGAATAAGTTTAACCACGGAGGTAACAGACCTGCACTTGGAAAGCTATAGGACACTGAGGAAAAAAGAGAGGAAGATGCAAATAAGTGGAGCACGCACTGTGTTTGTGATTGGAAAAGCTAACATCATTAAGATGTCCATACCACCCAGAGCCACCCATAAACTCAACGCACTTCCTATTAAATACCGACGGCATATTTCACAGTAGAACAAGTATTCCAAAAATGTATATGGAACTAAAAAACCCTTAATAGCCTCAGCAATCTTGAGAAAAAAAGAACAAAGTTGGAGGGATCATAATGCTTGATCTCAAACTATACTACAAGGCCATTAAAACAGCCTGGTACTGGCATAAGAACAAACAGATAGATCTTTTGAGACATAAATGAACTACTATGTCTGAAACTGGTTTTTCAACTGTAGAAGGGCAATATTAAAAGTTTGTATCTGTCACCAGATACAGACTGTGCACCATAGCCAGTTTCTTATATTCATTTTTGTGTCCCTCTGTTAGAGTATATAGCTTATAATACACATTTAAAACATGTGTTTATTTCTCTTTTTTTGGAGGGAGGGGACGTTCACCTGTTGTTCCACTTATTTATGCATCATTGGTTGATTCTGTATGTGCTCTAATTGGGGATCGAACCCGAAACCTTGGTTTATCAGGAGGATGCTCTAACCAACTGAGCTATAGGCCAGGGCTAAAATATGTTTCTTAAAGAAGCTGGGAAATCCCAACAGGGTGGGAATTCCCAAGAACCTGGGCTTTCTTCCCCTTTTCATAGTGGCAGGGCATGGGACATAAACAGAACACAGCAAAAAACCTGCAAGTGGCAGCTCTGAGAGCTGGTGATCTAACAACTTGCTGTCTAAGATATTCCATGGCCACCCACAATCCCCAAATCCGTCAAAACCAATAGGTCACGTGTAAAACTGAAGGTGTATTGTTTGTGTATCACAAAGGGCTCTGTACAGAAGTGACATAGTCATTTTGAAAGTATGTATGTCAAAAAAAGTGGCCATGTGGTATTTGTGAAGTTTGTTTTTGCACTCCCCCAAAACACTTTTCTTTATTTTTTAAATATATTTTTATTGATTTCAGAGAGGAAGGGAGAGGGAGAGATAGAAACATCAATGATGAGAGAGAATCACTGATTGGCTGCCTCCTGCAAGTCCCACACTGCGGATCCAACCTGCAACCTGGGCACGTGGCCTACCAGGAACTGAACTGTGAACTTCTGGTTCATAGGTTGATGTTCAACCACTGAGCCATACCCACTGGGCAATAAGACATGGTTCTTGCCCTTTAGGGAGCTCAACCACCATCACAGGGGACATAAAATGGACTGACAGTAACCAGCCCTTAATTTTGTGTAGTGAATTGTATCTAACAAAGTGCTTTCACTTTTCATGGTCTCTTCACAGCAATCACCTGCAGAAGATCATTATCTTTGATGAGAAATGGAGTATCAGAGAGGCTAAAGTGACTCTGGGCAAACACATCAAAGTTCTTTGGGAATAAAACAAGTTTTTCAGTTCCCTACCTTCATTAGGTTGCTTGCTGGGGTGTGAACCTCAGCTCCACTTGTCAGGACACACACCAGGGTTTGTCTTTCAGCTCCACTTGTCTGAATGCAGGAACGCCAGGAGAGTGAGGAAGATAAGCAGGCAGACTGCACAGTAAATGGTTATGTGTACAAATTAAAGTTTTATATACAGAGAACTCAAGTTCTGAAGGGACTAAAGATACAGAAGCAATTCAAATTTTTAGCTTGAAATTAGAGATCACAACTCAGAATCAAGAATTGACTAACGCCGAAACCGGTTTGGCTCAGTGGGTAGAGTGTCGGCCTGCGGACTGAAGGGTCCCGGGTTCGATTCCGGTCGGGGGCATGTACCTGGGTTGCGGGCACATCCCCAGTAGGAGATGTGCAGGAGGCGGCTGATCGATGTTTCTCTCCCATCGATGTTTCTAACTCTCTATCTCTCTCTCCCTTCCACTCTGTAAAAAATCAATAAAATATATTAAAAAAAAAAAAAAAAAAGAATTGACTAGCATCTGGCTGGTGTGGCTCGGTGGTTGAGTGTCGACCTATGAACCAGGAGGTCAGGGTTCCATTTCTGGCCAGGGCACAGGCCTGGGTTTCGGGCTCGACCCTCAGTGGGGTTGAGGGGTGGTGTGCAGGAGGCAATGATTCTAACTCATCATTGATATTTCTCTCTCTCTTTCCCTCTCCCTTCCTCTCTGAAATAAAAAAATAAAATTTTTAAATTAATTTTTTATTTTCTTAAATATATATTTTTTATCTTTAAATTCTTTATTAGTTAAGGTATTACAAATGTGTCCTCATCCCCCCCATTAACCTCCATCCCCCCCCCCCCCCCCGTCATGCTCTCAAACCCCTGTTGTCCATGACCATTGGTTGATCTCTTCCCCTTACTCCCACCCTCCCCTACTTTCCCTCTGGGGATTAATAGTCTGATTGCTGTTTCTCTGTCTTTGGATCTGTCACTGTTCATCAGTCTATGTGGTTCTCTATATTCCACAAATGAGTGAGATCATGTGGTATTTATCTTTCTCTGACTGGCTTATTTCACTTAGCATAATGCTCTCCTGTTCCATCCATGCTGTTGCAAAAGGCAAGAGTTCCTTCTTTTTTACCCCAGCGTAGTATTCCATTGTGTAGATGTACCACAGTTTTTTAATCCACTCATCTGTTGATGGGCACTTAGGCTGTTTCCAAATCTTAGCTATGGTGAATTGTGCTGCTATGAACATAGGGGTGCATATATCCTTTCTGATTGGTGTTTCTGGCTTCTTGGGATATATTCCTAGAAGTGGGACCACTGGGTCAAATGGGAGTTCCATTTTTAGTTCTTTGAGGAAGCTCCATAATGTTCTCCACAGTGGCTGCACCGGTCTGCATTCCCACCAGCAGTGCAGAAGGGTTCCTTTTTCTCCACATCCTCTCCAACACTTGTTGTTTGTTGATTTGTTGATGATAGCCATTTTGACAGGTGTGAGATGATACCGCATTGTCGTTTTGATTTGCATCTCTCGTATAATTAGTGGCTTTGGGCATGTTTTCATATGTCTTTTGGCCTTCTGTATGTCCTCTTTCGGAAAGTGTCTATCTGGGTCAGGGGTGGGCAAACTTTTTGACTCGAGGGCCACAATGGGTTCTTAAACTGGACCGGAGGGCCGGAACAAAAGCATGGATGGAGTGTTTGTGTGAACTAATATAAATTCAAAGTAAACATCATTACATAAAAGGGTACGGTTTTTTTTTTTTTTTTAGTTTTATTCATTTCAAACGGGCCGGATCCGGCCCTCGGGCCGTAGTTTGCCCACGGCTGATCTAGGTCCATTGCCCATTTTTTGATTGGATTGTTTATCTTCCTATTATTAAGTTTCATGAGCTCCCTGTAAATGTTGGAGATTAAACCCTGATCTGTGATATCATTGGCAAATATGTTCTCCCATGCAGTGGGTCTTCTTGTTGTTTTGTTGATGGTTTCTTCTGCTGTGCAAAAGCTTTTTATTTTGATGTAGTCCCATTTGTTTATTTTCTCTTTAGTTTCCATTGCCCTAGGAGCATTATCAGAGAAGACATTCCTTTGGCATATGTTTGCAATTTTGCTGCCTGTGGATTCCTCTAGTATTTTTATGGTTTCCCATCTTACCTTTAAGTCTTTTATCCATTTTGAGTTTATTTTTGTGTATGGTGTGAGTTGGTGGTCTAGTTTCATCTTTTTGCATGTATCTGTCCAATTTTCCCAACACCATTTATTGAAGAGACTGCCTTGACTCCATTGTAAGCTCTTGCCTCCTTTGTCAAATATTAATTGGGCATAGTGCTTTGGGTCAATTTCTGGGTTCTCTATTCTATTCCATTGATCTATATGTCTGTTCTTGTGCCAGTACCAAGCTGTTTTAAGAACAGTGGCTTTGTAATACAGTTTGATATCTGGTATTGAGATCCCACCTACTTTGTTCTCCTTCTCAGGATTACTGCAGCTATTCGAGGTCTTTTTATTCCAGATGAATTTTTGGAACATTCGTTCTAGATCTGTGAAATATGCCGTTGGTAATTCAATGGGGATTGCATTGAATCTATAGATTGCTTTGGGTAGTATGGACATTTTGATGATGTTGATTCTACCAATCCATGAACATGGTATGTTCTTCCATCTGTTTATGTCTTCCTCTATCTCTTTTTTCAGTGTTCTGTAGTTTTTCGCATATAAGTCTTTTACCTCCTTAGTTAAGTTTATTCCTAGGTATCTTAATTTTTTTGGTGCGATGGTAAATGGGATTGCTTTTTTAGTCTCCCTTTCTGTAAGTTCACTATTGGTGTAAAGAAATGCCTTAGGCCGAAACCGGTTTGGCTCGGTGGATAGAGCGTCGGCCTGAGGACTGGGAGGTCCTGGGTTCAATTCTGGTCAGGGGCATGTGCCTGGGTTGCAGGCACATCCCCGGTGGGGGATGTGCAGGAGGCAGCTGATCGGTGTTTCTCTCTCATCGATGTTTCTGACTCTCTCAGTCTCTCTCCCTTCCTCTCTGTGAAAAATCAATGAAATATATTTAAAAAAAAAAAGAAAAAAGAAATGCCTTAGATTTCTTGGCATTAATTTTGTATCCTGCTACATTGCCGAATTCATTTATTAAGTCTAATAATTTTTTGATGGAGTCTTTAGGATTTTCTATGTACAGTATCATGTCATCTACAAATAAGGACATTTTTACTTCTTCTTTTCCAATTTGGATGCCTTTTATTTCTTCTTCTTGTCTGATCGCAATGGCTAGTACTTCCAGTACTTTAAATACATTTTTTAAAAGGAGGTCCAAGTTCAATTCCAGGTCAGGGCACATGCCCGGGTTACAGGCAGCCAATCAATGATTCTCTCTCATCATTGATGTTCCTATCTCTCTCTTTTCCTCTCTCTGGAATCAATAAAAACATATTAAAATAAAAAAAGAACAAAAAGGCAACTTGTTGGTTTTTGATTGTGAAAAATCCAGCCTACAAAAAGTAAATAAAATTCCCCATGAACTTGGCAAAGCATTTAACCAAGACTTTAACACTGCAATATCAACTTTTAGTTTTATCTCTCTAGACTAGTAAGAAAAACAATGTTAACTAATGTGTATTTGGTGCTTAGGATGTCTCAAGCACTGTGTTAAGCACAATACCCCCTTCTTTAATTTTTTGGGGGAATTTCTGTGAGTTTATTTGAGCGAAACTGTCGACATATCTCCCCTTCTTTAATTTTCTCACCAACCCTGTGAAGCAAGTACCATCATGCCTCTATTAAGAAGTGGAAACCGAGGCTGAGGGAAGCTAAACAACTTGCCTAGAGTCACATCGGCAGGCAGTGGTGGAGTTCTCAGGCAAATCCAGGCCTGTCAAACTCCAAAGCCCTGTATTCTGGGTGCTCAACTGAATTATTTTTTTAGACCATTCAAGTCTGAATAATTTTCTATGGTATCATGAAGTCACAGAATTCAAGAATCCTCAACGTCTTGCTTTCTCTGTTCTGGAGACATTCAATGCAGGCCAAAAAATGTTCCCAATCCTTGACTCCTCACTTCCCACCCCATATCCTATCAAATTCATAATACCAAGACTTTCCAGTGTTAAAGATACAGGGGTTGTCATTCACTGCATATTGGCAAGCCTTTCTGGAGAGCAACTTGGCAGTGTGTATAAAATGCTTAAAAAGATGAATTTAAGCATGCATTTTCACTTCTGGGGATTTATCTTAAGTAGATGATAATGGATTCATTTGCATAAAAATGTGTCATAAAGATGTCTATTATAATTTTATAATAGCAAAAAGGAACAACCTAACTGTCCAATCACTTCTAAACACTCCCTCCCCACAAAGTAAATACTATCCCAGTTTCTATTGCTACAGCTTCATTTTGCCTGTTTTTAAACTTTAGATAAGTGAAACATAAAATATGTACTTGCTGGCTCCTGGCTTTCATTCAATATTATGTTTGTGCATTCACTTATGTTGTCATGTGTCATAGCAGATCATTCATTTTCATTGCTATGTACAATTCCATGGTGTGAATCTACCAAAACTTTTTTATCCATCTAACTGTTGGTGGGCATTAGTATTCAATTTCCAGCCGTTATAAATAAAACTGTTTGTCTCTTGGTGAACACATGTCTACATTTGTTAGATATAAACCTAAGCATGAAGGTGCTGGGTGACAGCTAATTTTTTAAAATCTGGACCAGGAGGATGTTTGCCCTGAACAATATGACCCTCAGCCCATTACGTGACGGGCATGGTTAATAATGTATGCATATGCCCTTGCTAACTGAGTTCATTTTACTCTTGTCAGTTTGGCACAGGTCCTGCAGGACAGCAACTTCCCTTAGATTTCTGAACATTATGGGGAAGGGATGTAGGCCTCAAATGTTATTAACAAGTTATTCTGGACAAGAACCAGTGGATTCAGCTGCTTTGGTCAACCTAAATCAGGTGTTTTACATGAAACATTTCCCTATTTTTTTTACAAACGCTATTCTCCTCTCTAGTCAGAGAACAAAACAGGTGGCTCCCCAGAGCACTTGCACCTGCTGCACCTCCCAGGGGACAGACACACACAGGTCAAAGCCCTTGCTCAGTAAAGCTGTGCTCCCACCAAGGGCGTTCTGGGCTGAGAGCTCACTTAGGGGCAGGGGAAGCTACCTTTCCTAGTCTCCCAATTTGCAGCCATTCAATCGTTTTGTTGTTAATCCTCACCTGAGGATATTTCTCCATTGATTTTTAGAGAGAGTGGAAGGGGGAGAGACACAGAGAGAGAAACATATGTGAGACAGACACACGGATTGGTTGCCTCCCGCATGCACCTGGGGATTGAGCCTGCAACCGAGGTATGTGTCCTTGACCGGGAATCAAACATGGACCCTTTGGTCAAAGGACCGGCACTCTAACCACTGAGCAAACAGGCTAGGGCCATTCAATGGGTTTTTAACTACATGAAACCATTAAAATACAGAATTTGTTTCCCGACAGTCTGATTTCTCTAAAGGAAAGGACAGGGTCATCCCATCTTTGCAATCCCAGTACAGAACGCAGTGCTTACATATGACAGAGGCCCAAGAGATGTTAAAATGTGTACTGTTCGAAACAGATGGGAAAAAACCTACCATACAGGACAGATGGTCAAGAGTAGAGTCAGTTATTGAGAAATAAAGTCTTTCTCTGTGGACTGAAATAGCAACTTATATGTCCATCATTATAGCTAAACAACACCCACTATCGAATGTTCTAACCACTGAGCAACAGCAATGATACGGATATGGAAAATGCTACATAATTATTAGTTACCCCCCAAAGGGCACGTTCCAAACAATTTATTGCGTAAAATTTTACCATTTATAAAAGAACAGTGCCTACAAGTTTCAAGAGGCATGGTCTGTGTGTAAAAGTAGAGGAAAAGGGCTTGGAGGCTGCACACTGCACTGATCACCGGCATCCGTCTCCGGAGAGAGGGTGCCGATGGCGTCTAAGGGATTTAGCTTTAGCTGGAATATCTGAGTCCTTTTCAAGATTGTATTTGTGTAACTAAGTTGTGTTAAAAATTTAAGCAAGCCCTAGCCGATTTGGCTCAATGGGTAGAGCATCAGCCTGCAGAATGAAGGGTCCCGGGTTCGATTCTAGTCAAGGGCACATGCTCGGGTTGTGAGCTTGATGCCCAGGTTGTGGGCTCGATCCCCGGTAGGGGGCGTGCAGGAGGCAGCAAATCAATGATTCTTTCATCATTTATGTTTCTCTCTCCCTTCTTCTCTGAAATCAATAAAAAATTATTAAAAAATTTAAGTGAATTTCTCCTTATTTCTACCAATTTCTCTTTTTTTTAATAAAATAACTTATTTTTCCATTGATTTCTAGAGAGAGTGGAAGGGAGAGACGAGAGGGAGAGAAACATTGACTGGTTGCCGCAAGCCTGCAACCGAGGTACATGCCCTTGACCAGAATCCAACTGCAACCCTTCAATCCGTGGGCCAAGGCTCTATCCACTGAGCACACCGGCTGGGGCCCAATTTCTCTTTTACCTAAGACTGCACTATTCTTGAAGGGAAGAAAACTAGACCTCTCCCTGGCACTGCCAGTAGAATTATCTTCTAAGCCTTGACACCCGACTACTCTGTCTCCCTCATGAAAAATGTAGGGAAAGGAACACATAAAAGTTCCTTAAACGAGTCCTGGCCGGCAGCCAGGTTCTCAGGAGGGCTTCTGTGAAGGAAGGCCAGGCGTCAAAGCTGGGAAAGACGAAAACATTTAAGAAAAGCACGCTCGCCCTAACCGGTTTGGCTCAGTGGATAGAGCGTCGGCCTGCGGACTGAAGGGTCCCAGGTTCGATTCCGGTCAAGGGCATGTACCTCGGTTGCGGGCACACCCCCAGTAGGAGGTGTGCAGGAGGCAGCTGATGGATGATTCTCTCTCATCGATGTTTCTAGCTCTCTATCTCTCTCCCTTCCTCTCAGTAAAAAATCAATAAAATATATTTAAAAAAGAAAAGCACGCTCATCTCAAGTAAAACTGGAAACAGTGAAGAATGTGCGCTCTCAAGGCCTGCGCACATTGCGGGCGGGCGCTGTACGGGCAGAGCAGGGCGCGAGGACCGCCCAGCACCGGCCGGACCTGCTTTTTTTTTTTTTTTTTTTTTAATATATTTTATTGATTTTTTACAGAGAGGAAGGGAGAGAGATAGAGAGTTAGAAACATCCATGAGGGAGAAACATCGATCAGCTGCCTCCTGCACATCTCCCACTGGGGATGTGCCCGCAACCCAGGTACATGCCCTTGACCGGAATCGAACCTGGGACCTTTCCGTCCGCAGGCCGACGCTCTATCCACTGAGCCAAACCGGTTTCGGCCGGACCTGCTTTAATGAACAAGATTCAAGGGAACAGAAACAGGAGGGGTGCACACACGCTCCGCCAATAGAGCCTCACAAAGAAGAGGTATGTGGTGTTGGGATATTCTTTCTCTTACAACATGGGGCTTAGGCCAAATTCTGCCGCTAATGCGGGTGCGATCTCCGACCCGCCGCGCACATATCTTTGGGTGTTTCTGCTCCCCCCTCGGTGACACAAAGGGGGCTGACGAGGGGCTGAACCCAAGCGCAGCCGCTCTGATTTCTACCCCAAACCCAGGGCAGCTCCATACCAACCGGCGGCGAGCGCCCCTTCGGCGAGGCTAAGAACAGAGGCCGGCCAGTCCCACTCGGCGCCAGGGACGCCCCGGTGACCGGAAGAAGAGCGCCCACTCGCCAGGCCCCGTCACTCCCCACTCGGCAGCCAGGCACCCACGCGCGGCTGGAGAGGTCCCGCGAGCACCCGGGCGGGCGCCTGGCCCGTGACGTCGGCCAGCACGTGGCTCTGCCCTGGGCCGCCGCGGCGGACCAGGAGGGGCGACGGCGGAGGGGCGGGCAAAGGACGTGGCCCAATGGAGAGGAGGGGCGGGCCTAGACGTGGACCAATGGGAGCGCGCGGCGGGCGGTGGGGGCGGGGCCCGGCGCGCGGCGCAGGGCGGCGCGGCGGCGGCTCCAATGAGCGTGCGCCGCGTCCGGGCAGCTGGTGCGCGAGACGCCGCGGAGAGGTCGGTGGCTACCGTAACAGTTTGCAAAGCGAGGGGAGTCGTGAAGGGCGCGGGCTGGGGCGCGCTGCCGGCCTCGTGGTTTGCCCGCGCCGCGTTTGTCCCGGAGCTGGGCCCGCTGGAGCGGAGGCCGAGGTAGAGGTGGCGGTGGGGTGGGGTGGGGTGGGAGGCAGCGCGCCGGCTCTGCGAGTGGGTCGGGAGTGGGAGCGAGGGCCGCACGGACACTGGGGCGCTTGGCCCCCACGGCTTGGTCCTGGGGCGCCCCCATGCCCTAGGGGTGGGCAGGGACCGGTTCCCGGCGCGGGGAGCCGCCACCTTGGCCGGGTGAGGCTTAGGTGGACTCCGGGCTCGCCGGACTCGCTGAGCGAGGCACCTGACGTCCCCGCACAGCGTCCATGGCGGCGGCGGGCCGGGGCGCGACCCGAAGGGATGCCGAGGAGTAGGCAGGCCCTCGAGCATCCCGGCCTCCCTCAACGTCACCGCCTCTCCGTTCCCTCCAGGCCCGGCCTGGCCTTCCGTCCGGCGGGGAGCTCCCGTGTGGGAAGGCGCCGGTGCGGGGAGGTGGTGGAGCCGGGGGCGGGGACCTCTGGCCACAGCCCCGGTGTCAGACGGCAGGACCCGTGCAGCGGGGCGGCCGCTGCTGCCTGTGCAGTAGAAGTGTCTGGGCCCCGTGTCCTGTCCTTGCTGGTTCACCTGGGGCTTTGGGCCCTTCCGGGCGTGATGGGAGGCTTCGTCCTCATCGGGGGGAGAGGAGGGCATGCAGGCTGCTCGGCCCGGGTGCGAATGGAGTAGGTATGAACCTTAAAGCGTCTCAGTTTGGGGGTGAGGTTCTGTCTCCTTCGCTCAGAGCATCCAGTTACAAGGGTTGTTTTTCTACTCCCCAGGGGCAGAATGGCAGCCATGGGCAGGACGCAGAGGAGGCGAGCTGGTTGGGCCTTGATGGCTCTGCTCTTGGCGGACCTGTTGGCACTGAGTGGTGTGTACCCGGCAGCGGGATGGAAGGAGGAATAGATGAGTGAAGGGCGAAGGAGACATGGTGGGAAGGGCCGATGAGGACCCAGGCCTTTCCTTTATGTCTTTTACTATCTCACCTTCTCCTTGGAAAAGTGTGCGCTTTGATGAGAGGCGCCTCAGGAAGGGAGGGGAAGAGGGACTAACTGACAAATGGATTTCCCTTTCAGACATGCTGGCAGTGATGTCAGTGGACCTGGGCAGCGAGTCCATGAAGGTGGCTATCGTCAAACCTGGAGTTCCCATGGAAATTGTCCTGAACAAGTGAGGGCAGCCCCAGTGCCTCGGGGGGTGGGGGGTGGGAACTGTGGGCTCTAAGCTGCTGTGTTCTTCGAAGTGCCCACAGCAGACTTAGGTGTGTGAGTGAGTGAGTGTGTGTTGTTTCGGCTCCTGTGGCCACACCCTGCTAAGGGAACCTGGGCCCAATGTCTGTTCCTCAGAGAATCCCGGAGGAAAACCCCAGTGACTGTGACCCTGAAGGAAAATGAAAGATTCTTTGGAGACAGTGCAGCAAGCATGGTGAGCTGGCAGCCCACTCCCTTCCCAGAGGTGGTGAGCAGAGGGGAGGAGGCGACAGGCCAAGGCCATGCCCTTAGCAACTCTGATGCCAGAGGGAGGTGGTGGCGGGCTCGGAGCCTAATGCTCTGCTCCTTTTTACTTCCTCTCAGGCCATCAAGAATCCAAAGGCTACGCTGCGTTACTTCCAGCAGCTGCTGGGGAAGCAGGAGGATAACCCCCACGTGGCCCTTTACAGAGAGCGGTTCCCAGAGCATGAGCTGGGCTTTGACCCGCAGAGGCAGACTGTGCGCTTCCAGATCAGCCCGTGAGTGCTCTGCTGGGGAAGCGGCTTCCCTTCCTGCCTGGCTGTCCTCGCCTCTAACTCCCCCCTCCCTCCCCCCAGGCAGCTGCAGTTCTCACCTGAGGAGGTACTGGGCATGGTTCTCAATTACTCCCGTTCCCTGGCTGAAGACTTTGCAGGTAAGCAGCCAAGATGAGGCCAATGGTGGCCAGGTTCCCTAGGGTCTCAGATGGGGGCCATTTTGTCTCCCAGGGAACATTTGGCTCTGTCTGAAGACATTTCTGGTTACCCAGCTGGGGAGCTGCCACTGGCAGTGAGTGATTAGAGGCCAGGGATCCCGTCAAACACCCTACAATGCACAAGACAGCCCCCACCACAAAGAATTATCCGTCCAGTCCAACATGTCAATCGTTCCAAGACTGGACAACCCTCGCCTAAGGGACGGAGCTGGTGGGAACCTTGCTCTGTTGCCCTCTGTAGAGCAGCCCATCAAGGATGCAGTGGTCACCGTGCCAGCCTTCTTCAATCAGGCCGAGCGCCGAGCTGTGCTGCAAGCTGCTCGCATGGCTGGCCTCAAAGTGCTGCAGCTCATCAATGACAACACCGCCACCGCCCTCAGCTACGGTGTCTTCCGTCGGAAAGACATCAACACCACTGCCCAGGTGAGCCAGGGAGGAACTTCTGACCAGACTGCAGGTGACTTGCTCTGAGGATGGAGGCCACATCTTGCATTTGTTAGCACAGACCTACTCTGCTCAGCCCCTGTTGGAGCCATTGGGTTTTTATTTTTCCACTAAAAAAAATATATATTTTTTTTATTAATTTCAGAAAGGAAGGAAGAAGGAGAGAGAGATAGAAACATCAATGATGATAGAGAATCATTGATTGGTTGCCTCCTGCACACCCTAAGCTAGGGATGGAGCCCACGACCCCGGCATGCGCCCTGACTGGGAGTCGAACCGTGACCTCCTGGTTCATAGGTCGACGCTCAGCCAGAGCCACCCCAGCTGGATGGAGCCATTGGGCCTTTAGCTGAGAGTTGGTGCAGCCCCATGGGAGCAGGCAGGCACCCTGGAGTTGGATAAAGTTCCTGTGACGATTGATTTGATGTCTCTGTAGAACATCATGTTTTATGACATGGGCTCAGGCAGCACTGTGTGCACCATCGTGACCTACCAGACAGTGAAGACTAAGGAGGCGGGGATGCAGCCGCAGCTACAGATCCAGGGAGTCGGGTAGGTGGGCTCTGGGAGGAAGGCTGCTTGCTGAGAGACCCTCAGGTCGGGGGGTCTGCTTGGAGGGGCAGTTGCCTCACTTTCCTGCTCCTTGCAGGAATGCTGTCTGGTTACGGTGTTGTCAATCATTGTAGGGTACTTCTGCCAAAAACCACGGGAGGATGGAGGCAGGGAGGACAGTTTGGGAAGGTTGAAAGGCAGGGAACCTACTGACTTCTAAGAAGACACAAGGCTGTAGGCCATATGTAGGATGTCAGATTCAGTCCATTCGCTGTCTTACCATTCCAGTTTACTTAATAACTTACCACTGTCATTACCTTATTTCTTGAACCCATCCTTTTCCGTCCATCTCTACTACTACCATCCTAGTTCAGGCTACCGTCACCTCTAACTTGGAGCATTCCAAAGGCCTGCTTCCAGTGTGGGCTCCTTCAGTTCCTCCTCCACATTGTAGCTAGAGGGCTCTTTCCAAAAGGCCAACCTGATTATAACACGTTGCTTCAAACCCCTTCAGTGGCTTCAACCTTTACCTGGGCGTATAAGGCTGTGCCAGCGCGCTTGTCTCTAAACCCGAGCCTCTTGCTCTTGGAGCTTTCGCCATACTTGCCCTCGCTGGGAACTGACCATGCTCTCACGGTCTTTCCCAGGCCGTTTCCTGTCTAGAATGCCTTTTCTCTTCACTAGTTAACTGAACCATCCTTCAGGTTTCAGCTTAAGCTCACTTCTGCACAGAACTTTCTCCAACATCTCGAAATAGCTGAACTTGCTCATTACAGATTCTAACAGCATTGTCTGCCTCTCCTTTAAAACACGTGGAGTGGTTAAAATTTCACATTTATTTGACTGCTAGATTGTATACTCCTTGTCTGCAGGAACCCTATCTTTCTTCTCACAATTACATCCCCAGAGACAAGTACATAGTTGATGCCTCGTAAATGCAGTTGAATGAATGGGCGGGTGAACTGTCACTGAGGTGTCTCCGTGTGGGAGAGTCAGGTCCCTGTGTAGGTGAAGGGGTCCTTGGGGGGTTGCTCCTGTTGCCTTTCCTGAGCAGGTTTGACCGCACTCTGGGAGGCTTGGAGATGGAGCTCCGGCTGCGTGAGCACCTGGCTGGGCTCTTCAATGAGCAGCGCAAGGGCCAGAGCGCAAAGGACGTGAGGGAGAACCCCCGTGCCATGGCCAAGCTGCTGCGAGAGGCTAATCGAGTCAAAACTGTCCTGAGTGCCAACGCTGACCACATGGCACAGGTGCCCACATGTCGCTGGTTGAGGGCAATGTTCTTCACTCAGAGGGTGGAAGACCCACTGCCTAGCACCAGGCTACTTGTGCCTGGCGTGGCCCAGCCCTTCTCCCCATGCCTCCTGCCGTCCTTGGGAAGTCCCATTCCCTGATTCCTGCCTGCCCGCCCAGGAAGCGGGGCCTGGGCGGGAACTCTGACATGCCTGTCCTCTCCAGATTGAGGGCCTCATGGATGACGTGGACTTCAAGGCAAAGGTGACTAGAGCGGAGTTCGAAGAGCTGTGTGCAGACTTATTTGAGCGGGTGCCTGGGCCTGTGCAGCAAGCCCTCCAGAGTGCCAAAATGAACTTGGTGAGTGGGGCGTGGGCGGCGGGCCTGGGGCAGGAGGCAGGTGGGATAGTGGTGATTAGGCGGTGGGAGGAGGGAGCAGGAACATCAGAGGCAGAGGCAGTGCTGAGGAGGGAGTCCGTTACTTGCTATCCCATCTCACATTC